ATTTTCCTGTTTAAAAAGTTCAGCTTTGAGATACAGTTCAGAAAAGAATAAATTCTACAGAAAGAGAGAAATCATTTATTCATAGCCGTCCCAGTGACAAATGGTTTTGCTTGTTTTTGACAAACTTTGTGACACAAAGAGTGTCACTTAAGCATTTTGAAGGAAAGCCGGATGAAAAAACTTTAAATAGGTTCAAGGTAACTTTCAATGAAAATCAGGATTGGAATGGTTCTATTGAGGATAAATCCCTTTCTAACATATGGAAAGAATGGACACTGGAAACACTACCAAACCAAATTAAATGTACCATCCAAAACAATATTACCATATTTCCAATTCAACTGCACACCAGTAAAAAATTTCCAATCAAATATCTCTGGTACTCATAGCTCAGATATATTGTCTACTCCTGAACCAAGTACATCACATAGTACCCTTGGAGAGTCTATGCAAAGTTCCTACCCCATTTAAGAAAGCACTGTTTTGGCCAGACCCAAAACCTCAGACAAAGAAGATAAAACTAAAGGAAAAGCTTCCATCCGTGGTACAATCAGAAGCTTGGCGTGAATATAACTTGAAAAAAGAAAATGAAAAGAAAAAGAAAGAAGAAGAAAGAACCAAAGAAAAATTGCAAGAGAGCAAGAATGTCTATTGAAAGAGAAGCGAAAAAGGGATATTTCTGATGATGGTGGAAAGGATGAAGAGTGGGTCGAGGGTGGTAGCAGCTGTGATGACATAGACTTTTGTGATGATCCTAACAAAGAATTTTGCCTGACGTGAGAAACTCACGGAGAACTTAGTGTGGGAAACTATGTAGGTACTTGTGAAATTCCTAGGTGGTAAAAAAAATCCATAACATACAGATGTTTGTATTATCCAAGGCCTTATGAACAATTTTGATGTACAAGTAATGTCTATGAAATATGTTAGTGCTGAAAAGAACATTTTTATTTGTGATGAAAAATACATCTACTTTGTTAACGAAAATCGCGTTTTAGGCATACCGCCGACCCCTATTATTGTATCCACTGGTGAACGGATCCGTTATGAATTTACTTTGCCAGTGGATGTATTTGAAGCCTAAAACCTGTGGAATTTTTATTAATAAACAATATTTTTCAGTAAAATGTAGTTATTTCTGTATGGCAATGACTGGGTGGCAATAATTGGCATTTTGAAAAATTGTGTGGCAATTATTGGTTTTTTGGCTTTATATGGTTTTTAGCTTTAACTTTCTTATAGTGGCAATGATTGGTCATTTACCTTAGCTGCCAAAATCATAAATGGTGAATTTGTCGTTTATACTTTGTTTTAACAACTTATTTTGGTATTGTTCGGAAGCTATTTCGGAGAACGATTTCCGAAGTGGAAATTGAAACGTCAATAAACGTATTTTTATCTTTAATTGTGGCTTATTCCCAGTTAAATAGTAATTAACTTATTTTGGTAATAGATTCTTTTATAAACTTAAATCTTTTTGTTAAAATAAAGCTTTGTCTAGGGTACATCAAAGGCGCATTGTTTTATTCACATTTCATCATATATCTTAAATTATTTGATCTGCAAAAAACAGTATGTAACAAATATATGAATGTTAATTAGTATACCACTGAGTTGCTTAATATTATATGAGATAATTTTATTGAATTAAGTAATCAATTTTTTACTTTAGTTGTTGGGTCATAAAATTTTAATTTTTAATTTAATTTTTAAGTAGGAAAATAAACCAAACCGAGCACACTATTTTTATTAATCAGTTTATAATTTTATCGCATTCCTTTCCGCAATCATTTTAATGAAATATGATTATTATCAGTTTTAATTGTTGAACACTATTAATACATATTCCAATTGGACATGTGCCAAGATTTTGTTCTTAGGTATAAGCCAAGTTTTAAAACAGCTGATTTTTACAATGTTTATTGACTAGCTTGTTGTGAAAAAGAATTGATGAATTGTTTTGGAATGCAGGTTTTATTACTAAAATAATTCCATCCAATTTATATTTATTATTTAATAGTTCAGTAAACTAGTAAAATATTGTGATAACAATTCAAAACTAAATAATTCAATTCATAATTCTAAACAATTCAAAACTGTTAATAAATGAATTAATTATCAGTAGTAATATCCCTAGGACATTGATAACAGACGAGATAATTTCATGACAATCGAAAGCTCGTTCCTTGGTAACAGCACGAAGCCGAAGGCTGAGTGCTGTTACCAAGCAACGAGCTTGAGAAATTTGTCATGAAATTATGAGGCATTCATCAATGTCCGAGGGATATTCGGCGGATAATTTTTCGAAAAAAAAAATCATAACTCAACATAACGAAACATTTATTTATTAAAAGTACAGTTAGTGAAAATACAATTATTAAAATTTAAGTTAACATTAGATTCATGAAACGTGACATTTTAAAATTTATTTGGATGAAGTTGTCAAACTCGGTCGTGTTGTCATAGTGATTGAAAATTACACTGAATGCAATTATCAGTGTAATGTTGACAGGATTGGGTGAAATTGTTCCACATGACACAAAATGACGAAATTTAAATGGTTGTTAGAACAGTCGAAAAATTATCAGTAGTAATATCCCTAGGACATTGATAACAGACGAGATAATTTCATGACAATCGAAAGCTCGTTCCTTGGTAACAGCACGAAGCCAAAGGCTTTCAAACAATACATTGCCGAAGATTTTATACGCAGATGCTAACATATGCCTCTAATATGCCTCTATCGTTGTTACACTCCAGTTGATCACCCTTTTTATACAACGGACATGTTATTCCTTTTAGCCACTCTTCTGGTACCAATTGCTTCTGCCATATAAGTACTATTAGTTTATGGATTTCTGCAAAAAGTTGATCACCACCTTTTTTATTCATTTCACAGATTTCATCGATTCCTAGGGCTTTATTGTCTTTGCGTTTTAGCATGGCATTTGACACTTCTTTTTGTTGGGTCTTCACTGTGTAGTTGACGTTGTAGATTTTATTGATTGTGTATGTTGTAACCTCCTATCGTTTATATTTATATATTCGCTGAAATCTTGTGCCCATCAGTTAAGAACTGAGTTTTTATCATGTAGAATTTCGCCGTTAGTATCTTTACAAATTTTTAATCGTGGTTTAAATTCTCGACGGCTATTTTTTTAGAGATTTGTAGTATTTCCTCATTTCATTTTTATCGAATAAACTCTGTATCTCATTCATCTGTTCGTATTTCCTCTTCTTACGTCGATGGATACGTTTTTCCTTCTAAGACGTCTATACTCTTCTTTTTTAAAAAAATCCACAAGGAAAAATTCCTGTAGCTGGCTGTATACCACGTATAACAAAAAGAGGTTAATCTTTGTAAATGGGTATATTTATTTAAAAAACCCTTAAAAGGGCCACATCAATAAAACAAACGTTTTCGGACCACACAGTCCATCATCAGGTTATTAAAATCGAAAATGCTAGGTCACAATGCCTGAGCCACCAAAATATTAGGGTAAAAACCCTTTAAATTACATTTAGTTATGAAATATTGTACATTGTGTTATAAAATAACTGTGTAATTTAATACTGAACATCACAGTTATTTTATAACACAATGTACAATATTTCATAACTAAATGTAATTTAAAGGGTTTTTACCCTAATATTTTGGTGGCTCAGGCATTGTGACCTAGCATTTTCGATTTTAATAACCTGATGATGGACTGTGTGGTCCGAAAACGTTTGTTTTATTGATGTGGCCCTTTTAAGGGTTTTTTTTTAAATAAATATACCCATTTACAAAGATTAACCTCTTTTTTTTTTTTTTTTTTTTTTTTTTTTTTTTTTTTTTTTTTTTTCTTCTTTTTTTTCTCTGTGTACAACTTCGTTGATGGTTTTTTGATATGCTGTGTTCTTTCTATTTGTGACCATTTATTTCGCACTCATGACCAAACCAATGATTTCTTATTTCTGACTTTTACCAGGTGAATGGTTCCTGGCGTGAGTTGGATTCAGAGCAATGGTACAATGCCAACCAACGGAAACCACTCTCGGCTTACGCACGTGGCACGTCTTTCCAGACCGTTATCTTTTCTTTTAACGGCTTTTGTCACAGACTCCAGCACTTCTGCAATGTCCTACTGCATTCGAACACTCAGTATTCTGCTATGTCACTTATTCAGTTTACCTACTCTTCCTGTCATTTTGTAATGGGTTTTATTTTTTCTTCTACCTTCTCTTGATTACTCTTGCTATATGTTTTGGTTATCACTTTTAATTTCAGGTGTGTTGGTGGTATTCCAGCTATGACTTGTAGGTCTACCGTCGAGGTCGTTCTATAGGCGCATACGACCCTTAATAGGACTTTTCTTTGGGCCTTCTCTAAAATTTGTTTGTACTTTTGTTTGTTAATTACTTGATGCCACAGCGGTGCCGCATATAGAATTGTGGAATGTACCAGTTCTATCAGAATCCTTCTTTTTTCCCATACTTAGACCTCATATATTTGGCATAATTATTGCCAATGCTGTTTCTCTCTGTTTGGCCTTGTTTGCAGTATATTTGACATATTCGCCAAATATTTGATTATTGTCCGGCATTATTCCTAGGTATTTAACATTTTTGGGCGGCATTATGCTTTCAAAAACAGCATTAGCTGAGTTCATTATAAGCCTGTTTTGAAGTATCGAGCCTTGTGAGACTCCTGCCGATGTCTGCATGAGAAAGAAGAATTCCTTCACCATGTGCTCTAGATATGAGGATTCTTCCAATTTCTCTAGTATTTCAGTTATTACTGTCCAGCTCGTGCAGTTGACGGCATTTTTTATGTCCAGAAAGACTAACTATTCCATCTTTAAATTACTAGATGTGCTGTGACGTGCCTAGAATACCTAATAATATATCGTTATTGATACAAAAAACTAAAAAAATATATTAACATTTATTACATTAAATTACCTTGTGATAGGGATTTTCCAGTTAGTGGAGAATTACCCAAATATCTTTTATTTTAGGAGGGTCCCCGTTACAATGCTTTACACGTAGCTGCCAAATCAAAAAATGCAGAAATGACTGAGCTTATATTAACAACTATTGCAAATCCCGAGTTTATTAAGTTGTTGTATGGTGATGATAATCAAGAAAATGCCGAAGACAGAGCTGCCGTTTTACTAGATCTATATCTTAATACTCCAAACAAAGGACTGAACGAGACTCCTCTCCATTTTGCTTCCAAACATGGAGCCCTAGACGTCGTCGAAATATTGGTCTCTTATCCACAGTGTGATAAAACGTTAAAAAATAAATATAACAGAACTCCAGAGCAGGTAAGTTTTAATATAGTCGTTGTATAGATATCGATTTATAAATATGGCTCTACGTCTGTTGATTATGAGCCACCTTAAAGTGAACGAAGCTGGTAAAATAATTCTCCATTTGGAAGGACGTTCAGTAATTCCCTTCTAACTTATGATATTTATCTGGTAGGGCTAGTTGGTACTATTATATCTAATTTCTTTGGAATCATCATGTGACTTTAATCTTTGCGCTGCCCTGTTCGTAGTGCTCTTTATTTTTAGATACAAAGGGTCTCTTATTTCCTAGAGAAACTGTCGGAGTTGTGTCATGGCATCAACAGTTTATTTTTAGCCCCTTTTTCTCTAGTTTAAGGTACTACACCAGATATATGCATATGCTATCCAGGCTACTAGAGCCGCCTTGTAAAGTTGGAGAATCAGTTTGGTTTTTAAAGTCCATGATTTTTACAAAAGACTGCAAGAAACTTCTTTTGTGTGTTGTAAGTTGTAAGATCCTGCCAATACATATTTTTGTCAAGACTCACTCTTAAATATTTCACAGAAATTTTACACCGTAGTCGTGTGCCCATCAATTTCGGAGTACTATTTATATGTCCCTACCTGATATTTTTTTATAACGATAAGTTCAATTTTATCCTTGTTCACCTTAAGTTTGTACTTGCACTCAGCCTTGCTGCTTTTAATAAGTCATCTTCAGGGGCACTTAGTCCCACTGAAGCACTAAATATCTTCCACTTAGTAACCCATCAGCTACCAGATTCCATGCCAGAGAAGATATCACTCCGTCCTACCCTATGAAAACCTCCGCCTGACGATAGTTTCCTAATGTTGACTTTATTTTTCTTTCTCGAAGGTTTTTCAGGTAGTCTACGACTGGTCTTGGCACTTCCGTTTTTACGGTTTCTTCGCAGACAATATCCGGAGGTGTGTGGGTAAAAGCTCCCTTTAGGTTATGAACAGACCAACCATAAAGTATCTTTTTTTGAGTTGCAATTCAATTCTAAAGTATATAACCTCGTTTCCTCGAGAATCCCTCTCTATGGAAACACAGATTTTGATAGAGGCACAGCTTCCGTTTCCATTCACCACGTTTTTATCAGTTGAGGCCAAAAGAAGGTAGGGTTATGGGACGATAGTCCTTTGCATTAACATAAATAAATATTTCAGTTTTCGGAATGAATACGGCTTGAGACGGCTCTTGGCACGTGTTCCACTAGAATGATGCACTGAAGATTCTCGTAAGAGGAGACACTGGTGCTTTTTTTGAAGAAGTATTGTATATACGCCAAATCATTTATAGGGTTCGAAGGTGTCTATTGTTTACCTTATCTCTGCTGAGAAGATTCGATTCACAAGTCCGTACGTTTTTTTACTTTCCCGTTGTCCAGGTCTGTATACCCTGTTTTCTAAATCACAGCATAAATAACAGCTCTTCAGGATCTGTGAACCCACCATTTGGTCGCCTTACTGTCTCTAGATAGCCGCTTTAGGCAGCTTTCTCGCACTTAGTAGCTTTAATCTTGCTGTTTATTCAATCTTTTAACAATGACTCTACTATCGTTTTCTCCGCGTCATCACAATGCTTAATGCCTTCATAGTTTTCTACGAACCTCCTAGCCTCACTACGCCACCGAAGTGGGTCCTATTAATAGCTCTTCTCAGATTTGTGTGTATCTCCATTGCATCGAAGACCTTTTGTTCTCTTCGCTCCGGTTAGGTGAGGTGTTAGGCCAGTCTTATTGTATGGCTACACTTTCCACCGCTTGATAAGTTTTTCACCAGTAAAACTATTTCATCTTTTGCCCTTAAGGTCGTTGAGCGGATATTACGTCAAGGCATATCTTTCAACAGATAATATACACCTAAATCGGTTACAACATATAAATTATAGGTTTTGTAGCCATTATATATCAATATCCCATCCCCTATATTCTTCCTCTTGATATTAGTCTTATCTTCTTTATAATGTTACCCTCTTCTCAATGGAGTTAGGCTACTACAATTACAAACTCTTCCCTGTCTTCAGATGTCTGGGCTATCTAGATCAGGATAGAGGCTGCTATCGTTCCAACATCCCAGCTACTTTAACTTGTTGATGTGTTCTAAAATGTGCCCGTCTATTGTGCAACGTTGAGGTACATTTTTTTTCGAATTGACATTACTTGACTTGATTGACGGTTTTCGTAATGTTTATTTTCATACCAAATTGCTTATAATAGTCTTATTGCTTCACTAATTATATCATATTCGGTTCTACAGCGGCGTAGTCAGTGCCTTCTTAGTCCTGAGTGTATTCGCCTTTGGAACCGAATGATGTAGGTTCGATTTCTACTAACAAACTACAAAGTTGTAATCTGTCGAGTACAGCTCCACTACAGTCATTCAGAATCAATCTTAAAGTAAAAATGAAGAAAAAGATTCTGCAGTCTCTTCTTTAATTTTGCATTCAAATATTTTTCCAAAATTTCGTGTTTTGTATAAAACTTAGAGGTCACTGATTGTGAATAAATTAGCGAAAATTAGCTGGCATTAACTCATTACTGTTATCTGTACAAAAAATATAGACTTACCTTTTGAAATATTGGTATATTAATTAGCCAGTGGAGTAGATTGGTATCGCTGACCGTCGCCACGCCATCCGAGGCACAAAAGACGGGACGTCCCCGATAGACTCAAGCTGATTACTGTACGCTGTCTCGGTATGAAGTGTTCCCAATTGTAAGGATAAAAATTCTGCACCTACAATTTCTAAGGGGTGATCAACGGTTCGTGGGGCAAGTGCATTCCATAAATCAAACCTATTGTAGGACGCTTCTGGATGGCGACAATCCAACTCAATGGTCACAGTAATGATACTTTACAGCGTTTTGTGCGTGTTGGCGACACAAAAATAACAGAAAGTCAAATTCCCTGAACTTAAAAACAGACTAAATGTGTTTAAGCCAGTTTAACAATGAGGTTGTACTTAATAACAGAAAACAATATATTTTAAAGCAAATAAGTAGTTTGAAAATACCATTAAATAAGATCACATTATAGTACAGTAAAAGAAAAGGATTAAATGTAAAAATATGAAAATAAATACTACATACTTTCCCAAACACTTCGTCTGTCTCCAAAGTACTTAGACGTATATCTTCTGCCCCTTAAATGTTTACCAGTACCTCACCACATCTTTGTATATAGAGATTATAACATATCTCGTAATGCTTTGTTAATTTTAAGTGTGTCTTCCGTAAATGGTATATTATAGAAAATGTTTATGATTTCCTTCTTCTTATTCCTTCTAGTATGTAGGCTTTAAAGCTAGTCTCCTAAATTGTTTAAATTGTCGTACCATCTTTTTCTTGGTCTGCCAATACTTCTTCTTTATGATTTCCGATTTGGTGTAAGGTACATACACGTGTACATGAAACAATTTACCTACATATTTTTTAGGTAATATGTGAAAGGGCCGAAGGAGATAACTTATCGGCAACGAAGAGAGCCATAGAACTGCTGCTCCATGATAGTTACTATGTACCAGTCTTAAGAGCAGAAGATAACAGCATGCCGCCTGTGGTAGGAGAACCTTTCTCACCTTCTAGTCCACCGGTAAGTTTTTAAAATTTTGTTAGGCCAAATTAAAGATTTAAGAATGAATTTAAATATTTAAAATTATTAATAATAATATACTGAATTATAGTTTATTCGTCTTCCGGGTTTGGACCGTGTCATTTGTGAGTGACCCAAAAGTGGGTTCATTCGACGTTTCGCTACAATTGTATGTAGCTTCTTCAGGAGAAAAAAAAGAAAAAGAAAACAAAAGACAGGAAGATGGGTAGTTAGCAACGGTAACTCAGTTACTCAACGCAACCAGAGGCGAATACTAACTACCAAGATGGGCATTTGGTCACAGTAACTCAACTACTCAACGCAGCCAGAGGTGAAAACCAAATGCCAGGACAGGGATTCACGTCCAACAGCTCAGAACACTAACGCGTCGAGAGGCGGGGAGTGAATCCGACGATTACTCCGCTACCGCTCTATTTATAGTCGCGGTGGCCTGTCGTGTCGGGACGTATCGGCACACTTCGTGGCGCGAACGTCAAGAAGCGCGCGCTGGCCAATCATATGGCTGCATCGTGGTAGCGGGACCGGACGGCGGCTCTAGACTGAGATTCCAGATGGGAGACAATTAGTATCCTTCCTCTCGATTGATATTATGGGGATTTTTTCGGATCTCTAGGGATTCGCGGATTTTCCTGGAATAAAAGAAGGGGCTCTTAGAAATAATATGGGTTTTTTCGAACAATATGGAATGACCGGTTTCTTGGCAGTGTTCTGCAACTGCAGAATGGGAGAAAAGACCTGATCGAATGCATCTTTGATGCTCTTGAATCCGAGTTTTGACGGAACGACCAGTTTCGCCAATATACGCATGTCCACATGAACAAGGAATAGAATAGACACCACAGGAAGATAGGGGCGGTAATGGGTCCTTAGGAGAGGGTAGATATTGTGAGATTTTCTTGGGTGGTCGAAAAGTAGTCTTGATACCTTCTTTGCGAAGAATTTTGCCAATCCTATCAGTGACATTTCGAATATACGGAAGAAAAGCCACAGGAGTATTACCCGAAGATTCTGAATTTGTCGTCCTAGAGTGTAAAGGGGGATGTAGATGTCGGTGTGTAATATTTTGAATTGTGGACTTGGAGTAACCGTTGGCGACAAGGGTTTTTTTGCAGATGGCCAAGTTCTTCTCTAAGGTTGTCGGGTTCAGAAATCGAAATGGCCCGATGGATGAGAGAGTTGATCACAGAATTCTTTTGGGCAGGATGGTGGTGTGATGAAGCATGTAGGTAACGATTCGTGTGAGTCTGTTTTCTATAAACAGAGTGACCCCATCGGCCATTGGGCTTGGAGGTGACTAACACATCGAGAAAGGGAAGGGACCGATTATTTTCTACTTCCATTGTGAATTTTATACTCGGATGTTGTGAGTTAAGATGATCTAGGAAGAGAGAAAGGGTATGTTGACCATGGGGCCAGATGATAAATGTATCATCAACGTAGCGGAACCAGACTTTTGGTTTTAAGGGGTAAGATTCTAGGGCTAAAGACTCAAAGGCTTCCATGAAAATGTCAGCAATGACAGGGGAAAGGGGAGAACCCATTGGTGTTCCAGATATTTGTTTGTAGAAATTGCCTCTAAAAGAAAAATATGTTGAAAGGAGGCATTTTTCCGCAAGATCTGCCAAAACCAAAGACTTGTTATTATTGGTCAAGTGATCTCGCAGAACAACTAGAGAGTCATGTATGGGGATATTGGTAAATAGGGATGATACATCGAAACTGACGAGAATGTCTTGGGGATCGACCGTGAGGGAGGAGATTAAGGTGATGAAATGTGTGGAATTTCGGACATAAGAAGAGGTACGACCAGTATAGGTCTTAAACTGATTCGACAAGTACTTTGCGAGTTTGTAGGTAGGAGAGTTAATCGTAGTCACAATGGGACGAAGAGGTACGTTATCTTTATGGACTTTGGGAAGACCGTAAATTCTGGGGCAGATGGAGTTTTTCGGAACTATGGACTTCTTAACATCATCGGAAAGATCGGATTGTTTGATGGCATGGGAAATTTCGCGTTCGACTCTATGAGTGGGGTCTCGATTAATTGTATTATAACAGGATGTATCCCTAATAATATACTGTGTAGAAAAAAAAAATAAGGTAGATATGCACTTTCAATGGTAGGAAATGATAGACATATTTACAGCGACAAGCAATATTAGCTGTTGAAATACCATGTCCAAAATTTAATATTGAGAGGAATCGGAGAGGAGAGGCAAACATTGTTGCCAAACTTATTGTTTTTTATTTGAACTGTCGTCTTTTTAGCGTTTGAAAAATGTGTAATTCAGACAATCTAAGAATCCGGCTTAAGAGTCCCACATAAGGCCTTCTAGCTATCTCGAGTCAGTTGTGAATTATCGCCAGTGTTCGATGTAACATGAGTAACTCAGAAAATGAGTCGTTCATTCGACCGACATAGAATAACATTTATTTATTTGTGAAATTTCTGTTATTTGTTTCTTGTTTGCCAAGTTAAAATAAATCTCTTTTTTTTTGTAGGTAATAAACTCCAATCCTCTTAGCCCAAGACTAGAGATCCACGCATATGCTGGTCCTATGGAGAGAAAAGAAGCACAGCAGTTTAGAAAAGTATGGAAAACGCCTCCACGAAACTGCAATGTTTCTGTATTAGGATCTAAACCGAATAATCTAATAAACATAGCTTCGCTCAAGTTTAAAGATCCCAAAAAAGGATTAGAAAGAATCGGCAAACGACTAGCTAATAAGTTCGACGTAAATTGGAAGGAATATTGGCCGTTTTTGGACTGTTTTATCGACATTAGTTCGGAAAAAGGACTCAAATTGTTAGACGCCTACTTATCGGATAAATATGCCATCTTAAACCAATCTGTGTTGGAGGAACTTAAAAAGAGTGTATCGGTAGATTTGGATGGAACGGACGTGCTAAGTCCTATGTCTAACTTGTGCAAAGCATTTTCTGCTTGCAGGTTGAATGATTCTAACTTATCGAATAATTCGGGAATACAGAACAGTGATTCGATAAATTATATTGATAAGGCGTGTCAAGTGTTCGCCAATAGGGTTTCAAATGACATTTTATATATTTTGTGTAGCGAGGACAATATTTTACAAATATTAGAAACGGAAATTAAACAGTTGGAATTGTTAGTGACTAGTTATATGGACGATAGTAGGTTCGCTTTGATAAATTTCCAAAAAATTCATTCGCGTCTTGGTATATTAGTCGGCCAAAAACTTTATAATAATCTTAAAGAAAACATTCGAGGTTTTCTTTGCGGAAAGTTAGAAACGTTGCTAGACAACTTGACAAAAAGTATAGACTGTTTTTCTTCCGATGACGAGAGTCATAACTTAGAAGTGGCGGAATCTCGTAAACCTACACTACATAAGCGACAGTTAATTTGCCTTTTGCACTATATACTAAATGTTTTATCGCAGAATTTTGACAGTAAACAAGGAGCTGAAGAAGGAGGATGTGTCAAAGATTGGGATAAAGCAGAAACCTGTACGTGCGTGTATCACTCGAGAAGATCTAAAAAAAATAACAGTGTGTCAAGAAGTAACAGTTTTAAGAACCATTCAAAAGTTTTTGGGACGAGTAACTTGGAACCTGTTACCAGAAAATTGTCGTTTAGCGAAGAGGATAAAAACGATTCCAGTTGTGGTATGCATTTAGATTTATGCTTTATATCTTTCATTCTATTTACATTTTTGTTAAATACTTTCGAGTCCTATATTGGCATTCTCAAATAGATTTAATTTTGGCTAAAACTTACGTTATTTTGTACTGTACACTACTGATCTGTTAAGTTGTACATTTGAAGGAAGGAATAGAACTAGGAAACGTATTAATAGATTTTAATTGTTCTATAGTCCATTTCCATCATATTGATAGCACATTATGTATGCAAATCCCTAAACTGTTAATACGGATGACTCAATGAAAAATAGACATTTGTCAACAAGTTTACAGAAGTATATAGGAAAACAATTTTAAATTGAGTATGACCACCAGGTATAAAGGTTGGAGCAGAATAGAATACAATAGTTGTGAGGGTTACTAATCCCTAAATAAGGTTGCCAGTGTCGGAGTGATTGAGATTAACAGGTAAAATGAATTTGCAAGAAATGTAAGATGTTTATTTTATTGGTTATATATAAAATAATTTGTGGACGTAACAGGGGCCGATTTGTAAAAAAATGAATATTATTTTAATCAAATTCCATTTCAGATTCACTGCTTTCTTCAGAATCTAAGGAATCTTCAACTCCAATGTTAATTATTACCGGTTCCAGCATTGCATCAGTGATATTATCCAAATTCCACATTTTATTTTCTTCCTTGTGAGCATGACTAACAGCATTTTTCCAATTTTCTGGAGTTACTTTTGATAAAGGAATGTTCTAATAATTGTTGTAAGTCTTCTAATTTAAAAGTTTTGTTGTTGCGTCCGACTTCACCCTTTACTTGAGACCATATATTTTCTATCGGATTCAGATCACAGTGGTATGGGCGTAAACGTAAAATAATTACATCACGGTTTAATGCCATTTCATCAATTATATATTTTTTATAAGCTGCTTTATGTTGCCTTACAATAGGTAATAATTCCTTTTTTGTCGAATTCTCCTTGTACTCAATTGCCTGTTTATCCAACCATTCGATTATCTCTTGTTTTTTATTCTTCAAAACGTCAGCAGTCATTTCCTCGTGGTAATAGTTGGTTGATTTTGAGGCAAAACTTAATAATCCACCATTGACAAAATCGTATTCGTTTCCAATATGGATTATTATGAGCTTGCGTCCTTTTCCAACGGGAATATTGTTTATTCCAGTAGATACACCTTCGATGAATGCCTGACGGGAACTTTTCACATTTGTATCAACCCATAGATGTGGTACAGTATGACCTTCATTTAGCCAAGTCTCGTCCAAATAAAAAAGTGTTTTCCCTTCTTCTCGGTACTTTTTAATCTTAGATAATCTCGTCTCCAACATACAATGTAATCTTTTTCAATTAAAACGGATTTTCTTCTATTCTTTTGCCAACGAAATCCCATCTCTTTCAATAGTCCCCATAAATTCTTCTTGCTTATGATTGGTAACTCTTCGTTTTCTCTAATTAATGTTTGGATTTTGTCCAATGTTGGAAATTCTTTGTTAAAAAAAAAAAAAAAAAAAAAAAAAAAAACGTGGTCGCGGTCGAGTAGACGCTGCGTCTTATCATGTTTTTATGTAGTTCTTCAATTTCCAAGGGTTTACTCCCTCCTCTCTTCTTGGAAGATGAAACAGTTCCTCCTTTTCTTTCTTTTAGGAATTTATAAATTGTTGCTTCTCCAACCCCTGTCATATTTGAACACATGTTCGATTTCACGAACATTACTTAAAGGGCGTTGATGTACAAGTGCATCATGTACATTTAATATTATATTTTTCTCTCTTAGACTGAAGGCACTTTTAAAACTACACTTAACCGGGATAAAACCTGTTGTCGACGTCATTTTTAAATGCAAATAACAAAATATCGACACCAAAAACTTGACAGGTAAGACATGAACAATGTACATCTACAAACTAAATAAAAAGATGCTAACAATTTCTAATTTATATTATTGGCATAAGCTGTAATGTGGCATAAAAACTACTTAAACTATCATTAGTGAAGCCTTATCAATAATTCCAGGTAATCGTTCAAAGAAGGTATTCTTTTTGTGTCAGGCGATAACTTATATAGAAAACAATAATCACCTCTAAATTACTGTTTACATTAATTTATTTCGTGAAACATTGAATTCTCTCGTTAATCACCCGTGTATAATTAACAATAATCGTGTGGCATGTATACCGACGTTTTTTATGCACAAAAAAGGTATAGTGAGATTAGTGGACACTTATTTTGCAGAAGATTTTTTAAAAGATAATGAATTGTTGACGGCATCTTGATTGAAAACAATAATCACCTCTAAATTACTGTTTACATTAATTTATTTCGTGAAACATTGAATTCTCTCGTTAATCACCCGTGTATAATTAACAATAATCGTGTGGCATGTATACCGACGTTTTTTATGCACAAAAAAGGTATAGTGAGATTAGTGGACACTTATTTTGCAGAAGATTTTTTAAAAGATAATGAATTGTTGACGGCATCTTAAAATATTAATTTTTATTTATTTCAAAACAAGTATAGGGTGACGCCTATGGTTTTTTGACCTGTTGTGCTATCAATATGATGGAAAAGGACTATACCCTAATTGTTCAATTTTTTAAAAGGTGTTTAAAAACAACTGTTTACAGACCACTATGTAGTAGTTCAAATGGCATATGCCTAGTAATCCAAAATAACTAATATACTATTATACAATTATATGTCATTATGCTAATAACTATTTTTTGAAAGAATTGCCAAAGGATGCCGCTCCACACCTCGGGCAGGTCTCATATAAAATATCTGTTCTGTCTTCTTCTTCTTCTTCGCGTGCCATATCAGAATTTTCCGACGTTGGCTATCACCATTGCGAAGGCTTCTCGATCTTCTGCAATATGGAATAATTGCCCCGCATTTGATATCCGAGTTTATTCACGAATGTTCCTCAATCAAGAAACTCGTTTCCTTCCTACACCTCTACGGCCCTCTATTTTGCCTTTAAGGATCAGTTGTAATATTTTATATCGACTTCTCCTTACTATATGTCCCAGATAAGACATTTTTAGATGTTTAACAGTATTTAGCAGTTCTCGAGCTTTGTTGACGCTCCTTAGTACTTCTTCATTAGTTTTCCTTGCTGTCCAAGGTATCTTCAGCATTCGTCTATGAACCCACATTTCCAATGCTTCAATTTTGTTCATGATCGATACTTTTAGCGTCGAAACTTCTGCACTATACAAAAGTACGGACCGAACATAGCACTTAACCATTCTTTGTCTTAGTTCTAAACTGAGATGATTATTGCAAAGAAATGGCTTTATTTTTATAAAAGTAGTTTTAGTCATTGCTATTCTACGTTTTATTTCTATGTCTGGATCTAGTTGATCCGTTATCACAGTTCCCAAATATGTCATTTTGTGACCTTTCTCAACTTGGACTCCGTTCAATTGAAGCTTTGCATCGGGATGTGGGTCACGACTAAACACTAAAAATTTGGTTTTGTTTGAGTTTATTTTAATGCCCATTTTCTCTCCTACCTCGTGCATACGATCAAGCAGAATTTGGACACCTTCAATATTATCCGACAGAATTACTGTATCGTCTGCATATCTAAACACATTAAGTAGTTTGGTTATATGGTTGTCTCTCAAGTGCTTTTTTAAATAACTGTTCCGAGTAAACATTGTAGAATGTTGACGACAAAATGCAACCTTGTCTGACTCCTCGTTGTATGGAGATTTCATCTCCAATTTTTACGATAGCAGTTTGACTCTAGTACAAATTTTTAATGACACGAATATCCTTGTCATCTATTCCGATATTTTTCAGTATTTGCATTAGTTTTACATGCTGTACTCTATCGAATGCCTTTTCGAAGTTCACGAAACATGCAAATACATCTTTTTGTAAAAGGATGTTAACCGAAAAAGTGCCTCCCTGGTTCCCATAGCATTTCTAAAACCAAATTGGATATCCTCGAGATGTTCTTCGCATTTGCGTCTATTTCTGTTGTGAAGTATTTTTAGGAAAATGTTAAGAGTGTGGCTCATTAGGCTAATTAATATATATTCTGAGTATTTTCTCGCATTGTTTTTTAGGTATTGCGACAAAGATGGATTAGAGCCAACCTGTAGGGATCACTCCGGTGTTATATATTGAATTAAAAAGTCTTACTACTACTTTTACGTTATTTTTTTCTATTAGTTTCAGCAACTCAGTTGGTGTATCATCTGGACCACAAGCTTTTCTAATTTTAGCATTATTTATAGCGAGTTCTACCTTACATTTCATAATTTCTGGGCCGTCAGTACAGTTTTGGTAGAATGTGGCAATATTATTCCTGTCATCTTCAAACAACTCTGACCATTCTTTTCTTATTCCATACTCATTTACAATAACTTTGTTATTATTGTCAACGAGTACAGAGGGAACTCGTTTTTTAAATATGTTACTCATTTCTTTTAGTTCTTTGTGCACATTCAATAAGTCGTGTTTAGATAGATATTACATACTCCATTTCGTCGCACCTTTCTCTCGTCCATTTTTCTTTGGCTAATTTGATTCCCTTTTTTATTCTTCTCTGCAGGTGTCTATATTCTATTTCATTAGACTTTACCAGTCGACGTTGTTCCATTAATGTCAAGATGTCATCTCCCATCCATTTATTTTTCTTGATTAAGCTTTTTCTATAATCATTATTTGTGGAGATTTCGGTAACTTGGTTTTTAAATTCATTTCATTTCTCTTCTGTTTCTTCTGTTTTTCTAGTTTTTAATGTTACGTTTTATGTTTATATCGTCAAAGTTAAGTACATTGGTTTTTGGTTTTTGTCGCTAAATTTGTTTTAACCTTAGTTTAATATCTGCTACAAGTTGTTGATGATCGGATCCGATATCTGCTCCAAGAAACGTAGTGACTTTTTTGACGGCATTTCGGAAACTTTCTAACAGCCAAAATACTTTTTTAATAGTAATCTATAAGCTTGTATAGCTGTGGATTGAACATATTTTGACCACGTGAACGGATATGGAACCAATTTTAATGTACCCAACTAATGGGAAAATGTACATAAGGCACACTAGTACAACAGAGTATCTTGTATATAATGTTCTGTCAAAAAAATCAAACCGTGCATACCTTCAAGTAGCATTAAATTTTATAATAATCTATCGTTTTTTATAATTCTTTCATACTTTTATCAAACCCCTTTATTGATTTTACAGTTCCAAATGGTTTTAACTTAAGTGGAATCAGTAATTCTGTTGTAAGCAGTTCAGATGAAGATTCCGAAAGTGAAGACAAGTTTTATACGCCGCCTGATAGTCCTAGTTTAATAAAAAGCGATTCGGAATCAGACGACGAATTTGCCGATTCCGAACTACCACAGCATGAAGTTTTTATAGAAGGGTAAGTAACTATCATTTATGGTACCTACTTTAAAGTTTATAAGAGTATCACTAGTATCATCGTCATTCTTTGTTCTTAATCTCTATACCAAGTTGTTTTCTTTAATTTAATTTCTGCATACGTTTCTATCTTGGGTCATACCAATATTAATTTTCTTTACAAGCATGTGTTGCCTAACCTTCTTTCACATGTTTTCATTAGTATTCCTTTGCTACCCCTTCCAGGAACTGTCAAAGTTTGAAAGTTCGTATTGTAAGAGTCTGTACTTGAAAATAAGGTAAATCCTCTGGATAAAAACATTAATGTGCTTCAGCAGAAGTTTGAGTCAGTTGAGGAGGAAAATAGAAAAGTTATGCACCAGATATATCTGAATATATAACTTTAATCCAATCACGTATCAATAAATACTTCCGATATATCTACTAATTGTCTTCCAAGAGGTCAACAAACGTACCAAAAGAGTTAACAATGTTCCTGATCCCGTCAAAATGATCTTTCCAATCGTTTACATATACTAAGGTATTTGCCCATTGAATCTAATTCCAACAGGAGCCGCTACGGAAGCCGCTTTAAATTAACTTAGTCGGAAAGAAAGGGGGTAGAGCATTGTGAGAACTTATTAACAGAAAAAAGAGAATGGTTTAAACAGACAAATGAACAAGTGGAAGTAGAAGGAAGAATAGAAATATCAATAGAATAAGGAAAGAAGAAGTTAAGGGAATGAAATTTAGAAAATCTCAAGGCCCAGGCGGAATACATCGAGAGTTGATTAGATATGGATCATCAAAATTGTTTGAAATGATCCGAAAATTATTCGAAAGATGCTTAAACGGAGAAGTTCCAGAAGAATGGAGACAATCGTATATCTCTCCAATACACAAGAAAGACACAAAGAGGGATCCTAAAAACTATAGAGGGATCGCCGTGATTGTTACTCTAAACCGAATATACTCAAAAGTACTACCAAACCTGATAGAAACTGATATTAAAGACAAATAACCCGAAGAACAAGCGGGATTTAGGGCCAGACGCTTCACTATAGATAATATTTTCACATTAAAAATTGCAATGGAAAAACGAGTGCAGAGAAATAGAGAAATCCATGTAGCTTTAACAGATTTGGAAAAAGCATAAGACAGTGTACCGATTTCCCAACTATGGATAGAAATAGAAAACTTGAGAATAAACCCAATTCTTATTAACGCTACTCAAAAATACTACGAACAAAACATTGCAAGAATTAAAATTAGACAAGAAATCACCTCTCCTTTTTAAACAACAAAGGAACCAAGACAAGGTTGCTGTCTGACCTTATTTAAAATCTATTTGGACAAATATACACTTTTCTTTGCGTATGACCAGGTAGTAATTGCCGAAGACAGCTACGATCTTAGCTATATGGTGAGAAAACTGTAAGAAGAATATGAGGTGGCAGGTCAAAACATGAATATGACAAAATGTGAATATCTCTCAGTGGGAACAGATGAAATATGTGACCTAGTCTTGGAAGACGACAAAATTAAAGGCGTGCAATCCTGCAAATATTTGGGGGTCATTTTCAACAAGAAGGGAAATAGCGCAGATGAAATCAGGGAAAGAATTAACAAGGGCAGAGCAGCGACCTCTACCTTAAACTCTCTTGTCTGGCAAAAAACAATTCGACGAGAAACCAAAAAACATATTTAAGGTAGTATAGTTTAAAGTAATACACTTTACGGTTCGGAAGTATGGGACGTCACCAAAGCTAATAGAAACAAACTTATGACGACAGAAATAGATTATCTGAGATGAAGCTGCGGCAGATCGAAACTGGAGAGAGTTAGAAACGAACAAATAAGAAACGAAATGAAAATCAATGATCGAAATGAGCGAAATATCAATGATGACATAGAAAGAAAACAATTAATCTAGTTCGGACATGTTAAAAGAATACCAGAGTACATATGGCCTAGAGGAGTGCTGAAATGGATACCTCCAGAAAGAAGAAAGAGAGGACGACCACGGAGAAGTTGGCGCAACGATATTGATGAAGCAATGGCGGCAAGAGACTTAGAAGAGGCAACTGCATATGACAGAAAAGATGAAAATTAGGGACGGAGAAGCGGCGACAGCCGTAATCAATCCGTTATTATATAATAAGAAAGAGGAATGAAAATAATCAAACATTATGGTTTATTAATAGTATCCCAAAGATAATAAAAAACAGTAAAAAAATCAATAAGGGAGAGATCTCTTCCAACTAAGTTATGTATTTAATACCACAAAGTTATTACCACTATAACAGAACAACAGTGGACCATTGTTGGTTGAATGAACAAATTCCCATTGTAGAAATTGGATGGCTCGGTTATATCATCTTAAGAGGAGGAGAATTGCATTGAAAATGTTATTCAAACATTTCTTTTTCAAGTTAGAGAATAAGATATATTTTTCATTTCTGTTTTATTTGTTTTAGGGATAATCCTACAAAAGTAGACTGTGAAGTATTTAACGCTCTATATTTTTCTGAGGTTAAATTAGATAATAAGAAGTATCCAAATATTTATAGATGGTACCACACTATTAGTTTATATACACAAGAAGAACGTGATAGGTAAGTTTTTATTTTTTTATATTCAAATTTTTAACTATAATTGACGCAAACAAACGCTCAATGGACGAACACGAAATTTTGTTGCTCACTGTACACTTAACTACTCCCAAGATCGTCACTCTATAATCAGCTGGGCCGGTCGCTTTAGGCTTTGTCAGCGAAATAATTCTGAAGCTGTTATTATTATAATAATATGCCATATATATATATATATATATATATATATATATATATGTTGAACAATTATTCCGGGAAAATATCCGTTGGTCATTTTTTAATTGCAGACGTTTCGCCAAGGTCTCACTTGGCATCTTCTGTGCGTTGTCTTCGGTCTCGTAGTCGGTAACTGAATTCAGTTACCGACTACGAGACCGAAGACAACGCACAGAAGATGCCAAGTGAGACCTTGGCGAAACGTCTGCAATTAAAAAATGACCAACGGATATTTTCCCGGAATAATTGTTCAACATATTACTCCATCCGTGAAACACTTCAAACTAACATATATATATATATATATATATATATATATATATATATATATATATATATATATATATATATATATATATATATATATATATTTTGTCACACTGCCTGGGGTGATTGCGGGGTGGATTGAATAGCTCTGCGGTTACTACAGCTGGTCCCAAAACCCGGATAAAATGTGGTAATTGGCCAGGTTAGCAACCTACCAGCAGTATTTGTGAAAACAAATACTGCTTAAAGAAACAATGTACAACCTCGGAACCGGATTGATACTATGAAGACGACTACGACAAGAAATAAGGACAAGCGAAAGACATCCAAAACCCAGATGAGAATTAATACTTGGAATATCAGATCACTCAACTCAGGGGATCAAGAAATAACCCAAGTGCTGAAAGAGAAAGAAATAAACATTTGTGCTCTACAGTAAACAAAAGAAAGGAAAAGGTCAATTAAAATTAGGTGAATACATACTAATCTACAGTGGAGTAGCAAAAGAAAACAGGCCAAAGAAGGTGTGGCCTTACTAATACACCAAAGGTACCAAAATCGCAAAGACAAATTGTCGCGTTCAAGCCCCTCAATCACATCGCTCACAACTTGATATACAGCATTCGTAGTAGAATGAGCACTTCTGAATCCATATTGTGAGTTACTAAAGTAATTATTGGACTCAAATAAGACTAAAAGTGTTGTTTTATAACCTTGTCAATCACTTTCCAGGTATAGAACAGGTATAATACCTAAAGAATGGCTCCAATCAACATTCATACTGCTTCCCAAAAAAGCCAATGCAAAGGAGTGCAATGAACATCGCACCATAGCCTTAATGAGTCATGTCTTGAAATTGTTTTTAAAAGTAATTCACAATAGAATACATAAGAAATTAGATGAAGGCATAAGTAAGGGATTTAGGAAAGGTCTGGGAACACGAGATGCACTGTTTGCAGTAAGTGTTCTTTCGCAGAGATGCTTAGATATTAATCAGGAAGTATATGCTTGTTTCATTGATTTTGAGAAGGCATTTGACAGAGTGCAGCATAATCGACTTAAAGAAATTTTATTAAATAAAAACATAGACAGTAGAGACATTAGAATCATCTGTAACCTCTATTGGAATCAAACAGCAAAAGTGAAAGTTGAAAACGAACTGACCAAGGATATCCAGATTCGCCGTGGGGTCCGCCAAGGGTGTATTTTATCACCCTTGTTATTCAATTTATACAGTGAAGCCATCTCAGAATTAGCGCTTGCCGAGATCAGTGAGGGCCTTATAATAAACGGTGAGCCACTTAATAACATAAGATATGCTGACGACACCATCCTTTTGGCAGGAACACTAGAAGAACTCCAACACCTTGCTGAACAACTAAATATATATCGCAACGATTATGGACTAAAAATCAATTTGAAGAAAACCAAGTTCATGGTATTTACAAAAGCACAAAACATCAAAGTTAAGCTAGTACTAGATAATACAGAAATTGAACAAATATCTTCGTACAAATACCTTGGAGCATGGATCACAGAAGATACTGATCAGACAAAAGAAATAAGATGCCGCATTGAAATTGCGCGGTCAACTTTTAATAGAATGAGAAAACTTTTTGTAATCGCGATATCAATATATCGCTCCGGATAAGAATGCTTCGATGTTATATTTTCTCTACCCTTTTGTATGGAGTTGAAGCTTGGACACTTAAAAAATCCAACATTAAAAACCTAGAAGCATTCGAAATGTGGTGTTACCGACGCATTTTGAAAATATCATGGATGGATCGCAAAACAAACGAACAAGTTCTCGAACAACTAGGAAAACAATGCGAAGTTTTAAATTCCATAAAGATCAGGAAATTGGAATACTTGGGGCACATCATGAGAGGTGAAAAGTACGAACTACTAAGGAATATAATGCAGGGTAAAATCAAAGGTAGAAGAAGCGTAGGAAGACGTAAAATCTCGTGGCTACGCAATCTCCGTGAGTGGTTTGGATGCAGTTCAATTGAACTATTCAGGCGAGTAACCAATAAAATTATAATTGCCAGAATGATTTCCAATCTCCGATAGGAGTGGAACTTAAAGAAGAAGAATCACTTTCCCAAAAGTAGAAACAATGTTTATGGGTCTGTAATTGTCAGTTTTTGAGGAATCACTTTTTTATAGATAGGTAGTACTTTTGGAAAATTGGAATGAAAAATTCGTAGGAAAATTTATACTGAATAACAAATAAATAATTTTTAAGTCTTAGCTGTCAAAAAAATAATATTTTAGACTATATTAGGTTTAAACACTTTTGCAAAAGCAGTTAACACTCTTATTACCACTCATCACGTCATTCGCTGTCTTTCGAATCTTACCTAAAATGTTTTTTAGTTGGGGACATCTAAAGGACCAACAGAACGCCAAAGTTGACATCCCGAATTCATCTTTAAATGTATCGTTTAATATGGACTCGCCGAGGACCAGCACGCCTTCCAAATCCTGGCTGAGAATCACAGGTGCCAATTCACCAAAAACAGCATTAAAATCGAGAAGTGTAATTTTCTAAATGAGAAAACGGATTGAACATATTTATTTGACTGCTCACTGTGCAATCGTTCGATTATGTTTATAAATTTTAAAACAAGAACAGGTTGCAAGGTATTTTAACTGTTACATTATTAACGAGAAGTTTAAAATATTTGATGAAGTTTATGAGTTGAATACTAAATGTTTGGTTTAATAGTGTTATGCATGATAATGTTGTACTGACCAGATATGTTATTTACTCTTTTTTAAAGTTTTTAATATGAGTATGAAGCTGTAAAAACATTACGCTGTTTTTTTTTGTCAAAATATGTGGATTTAATCGACTAAATGTAATCGGAGATTTTGACTGTTCCTTAATTCAAATCAAGCCAATATTTACTTATTTAAATACAATTTTTAATTATATTAAAAAGTTATTACCTCACATCTAAATTAAAAAAATAATAATAAAAAATGCTAGCATATACTTAGTTATTTCTCAGGGATTTTTAGGGCTTGCAATAAAATCCTAATGATGGACAAATGTATGTGTATTGATCAAACGATAAGAAGCTATTACTTTGTGTACCATTAAGGCATACAGCCATTAAGTGTACAGCTGGTTCCTAAAAACACTGATAAGACTCTTAGTAAGATTTGATCATTTTGAGCAGTGTATTTAATTCGTCTGCATTATTTATTATGACAGAGAAATAATAAAATAAACAAACAAACAATTGATTACATCTGTTTGTGACGGGTAGCTCTTTCGAAGCGACAGACTCAGTAAAACACAGAGTGAAATAACAATAAATCTATTAATTCTAACGTATGTACAAAAATAAAAATAAAATATATCCTGTATCCCCGCCTGGATCCTATGAGAGCGAATTCCCGGCAGACCTGTGTAAAAGAAAAAAAATTATTATTACTAACAAAAAAATTAAATACTCGAATTCGATCGCACGCAGACTTATAATTGCTTCCACCTTAGTCCAGTGGAAGCACTGAACGTTCTGCTTGATTAAGGACAGAGTATAATCCTCATTGCGGAAATCTCTCTGTCCGGGTCGGCTCGCCGATTCAATACACTAGCGAGCCAGGGAGTCTAGAGCGTTAGCCACAAGACTTATTTAATTCCGGCAGTCGCTCGCCTTAAATATCCGCTCCAGACCCCACTTCGTCGTCTTGTCGTCGTGGAGATGGATGCGTGACTATCGACACTCCCACGGTTCGAACTGTTGAACGTTCAGCACATCGTTACACCCCTTTCTCTTTGGAAAAAAAAAACAAATAATTCATAAATTGTAATAATTATTAGGGTCTAAATTTTTATTTTATTTGGAATACCTGCATTTTATAAAGAGTATATAAATGATAGTTTTTACATAAAATAGGGTTGTTATTATTTTTATTTTTATAAAGGAATAAAACAAACGACTTAACTCAAATTTTAAAGCAAGAATTGTAACCAAATTAAAAGATAACTGAGCACTATCAGAGGCAGCAAAACATTTTAACATAAGCAGAAGCACAGTTTTTCTATTAATGAAAAATGGAGGGAATAGGAAACTCTCGAAAGAAAACGAGGGTCTGTAAGACCAAAACTATAATAAATTTAGGTATATAAAAATAAAATTATTATTTTGTAACATCTCCATCAGCATTGATAACAGCTTGTAGTCTTCGATCCATCTACGTGAAAGGAACTATGAAATTGTCTTCTTCACAGAGCTCTTCCTAAACTTGTATACCGTGTCACAGCTCTTCAGCATTTTGAGGTATAAAATTACGCCAATACAACCGTTTTATAATAACCCCCTACACATTCTCGATTGGGTTACTGGGCCATGGTAAGGTTTCGATGTTGTTATTCTGGCGCCACTGGTTTATTATATTTGCGGTGTGAACAGGACAATTATAAGGTTGGAGGATAAAATTATTTTCTGGATACAACTGTTCTACACTGGGAAACATGATCCCCATTCATTGGCGCTAAAATGACCAGCTGCTCGATATCTATCAACATATAGAGGATTAAATCTATTATTATCTGGTTTATACACCCCAATTTTGTCCTTTTTAGATGATTGAAAAATTTTTCTGATCTGTAATTGGTTGGTTTAAAGCAAATATAAATCTTGATTGCTTCTGTTGTGCTGTAAGGGCTTGTTTTTTGCTGCAGTTCGGTATTCTCGGTTCGCTATTCCCAATCCGAACTGTCTAGTGAATTTAGTAATTATTTTTTTGCGAAGTTCGTTACTTTTTGACAGTCTAAATTTGATAGGTTGAGTATACACTTCCACTATTTAGAATAATTCTTCTTTTTTCAAAGAAAAGTCTGCAATAGTAGTTTACTTGAGGTATTAATACTGAGAAGTAGGAATTGTTGTGTTGTAGGTTTCAGACAATGAATCTGCCAAAATATGCCCGAGCTAAACTAATGGAGTATACCTAAGACACGATGCTTTAATTGTGCGCCAAGTTGTTGTTTTTCTTCCCGGAAAGTGCGACATAAGTCTTGCAGTTTTCGCATCTTCAAAAGGGTTCTCTTCTACTCTCTCCAAAAGCGTCCGATCTTCATGAGCGGTATGTATTTTTGGTCTTCCAGAACCTTGCTTTCTTTCGTGCTTTCTTTCTTTCTGCTTACGTTAAAATGGTTCGCTACTTGGATAGTGACCAAGCATCTTACAATTTCGTTACAATTATTGCTTTTAGTTCTGTACTAGCATTTGGAGCCATTTTTGAGTTTGAATAGAATAAGTTATCTGACAAATTTTAAGATTTGGCTGTGACAGAAATATTATACAGACCATAACTACATCAAATTTATAAAAACGCTTACCAATATTACTGTTATATACACTCGCGGTATTCATAATAGGTTTCGGTTATCACCTAGCAGGTTTTCATTCGCGATATTCACATGCGGTTGTTTCTCGTACGAGTTTTAATTGTCTTTAATAGGTTAGCTGTTTTTGTTTATAACGGATTCGCGGTATTTTTTCACTATATATACGGAACTGTTTTTGTTACTGGTCTTTATCACTAAGAGAGGCGGAAAGCACGTCTGTTGTTTGCGGGAACCGACATAATAAAGGCGAACACAGCGTCTGTTGTCTACGAGAATCAACACTTAAGAGATATATTTTATTTTTCTTTTGCCTTATCCAAGAATGTCTGTACTTGAGTAGGGGTAGAAGTTATTACTAAGAGTTGGATTAAGTAATGATTCTGTAATTGATATTGCTAATTATAGGAATGATACAGCGAAAAATATAATATTTGATGGATTCGACCGTAACCTGATGGAAATTCATTTTATGTAACAATAAAACACTGAAAACTTTGTTTTCAAACTTCCACAAAATTTATTTTAACTTATCACTACAGCTGTTTCGACTGATTGCCTTTCTCAGTGCTTGATTTTCAACAAGTGATCTCTTTTTTTAGCATGCGTTTACATTTTATAGTCTCTAATGAAATATATTGACTAGGGGAGAAATGTTTGTCTCGAGTTGGTCATTCAGAATTATATCTGTGTTTTTTAATTTGTTGATTTCCATAGAGTCTAACAAGGATAGCTTAAGACCTTTATTTTGAATGTGAAGAATTTTAAATTCGTCATTAAAAGAATGATTGTGATCTAGAAGGTGAAGTGCGTATGTAGAATCTGTTTTTCTATTATTGAAAGCCCTTTTATGTTCTGCTATTCGTTTATTAAAGTTTCTACCAGTTTGACCGATGTAAGTTTTTGGGCAGTCGCCACATTTAAGTTTGTACACACCACTGTGTAAGTGTTTTTTATTTTGGCTCTTGTTGTTTTTGATATATTTGCCTAGGTTGTTATTTGTTCGGAAAGCTAGTGTTATTCCTTTCTTTTTTATGTGTTTGGCTATTTTAGTTGATATTTTGCCTGTATGTATAATCGAGCAGAAGGTACTGGGTGTTTTCTCTGGTGGTGGAAACCCTAATTTCAGGGCTTTCTTTTGTAGTTTTTGATTTAACATTTTATTAATTGTTTGTTCGTTGTATCCGTTGTTTACTGCTATTTGCTTGATGATATTTAATTCTGTCTCAAAGTTGTATTTTGACATCGGAATTTCTGTTAATCTATGTAACATACTACGATAGGCTGCCGGTTTATGTTGTGTTTAATGGGATGATGAATAGTGTATAGTCGTGTCAGTATGGGTAGGTTTATGAAATATGGAGAAGTCATGTTTGTTTTTAAGTCTGATAATTTTTAAATCTAAAAAGTTTATGGATTGATTTTGTTCTGTTTCTATTGTAAATTCAATATGATTATGAAGTATAGATTATTTTATCGTATATTAATTAACTTCATAATCATATTGAATTTACAATAGAAACAGAACAAAATCAATCCATAAACTTTTTAGATTTAAAAATTATCAGATTTAAAAAGAAACATGACTTCTCCATATTTCATAAACCTACCCATACTAACACGACTATACACTATTCATCATCCCATCTAACACAACATAAACCGGCAGCCTATCGTAGTATGTTACATAGATTAACAGAAATTCCGATGTCAAAATACAACTTTTAGACAGAATTAAATATCATCAAGCAAATAGCAGTAAACAACGGATACAACGAACAAACAATTAATAAAATGTTAAATCAAAAAATAAAAAAGAAAGCCCTGAAATTAGTATTTCCACCACCAGAGAAAAAACTCAGTACCTTCTGCTCGATTATATAAACAGGCAAAATATCAACTAAAATAGCGAAACGCATAAAAAAGAAAGAAATAACACTAGCTTTCCGAACAAATAACAACCTAGGCAAATATATCAAAAACAACAAGAGCAAAAATAAAAAACACTTACACAGTGATGTGTACAAACTTAAATGTGGCGACTGCCCAAAAACTTACATCGGTCAAACTGGTAGAAACTTTAACAAACGAATAGCAGAACATAAAACGGCTTTTAATAATAGAAAAACAGATTCTACATACGCACTTCACCTTCTAGATCACAATCATTCTTTTAATGACGAATTTAAAATTCTTCACATTCAAAATAAAGGCCTTAAGCTATCCTTGTTAGAATCTATGGAAATCAACAAATTAAAAAACGCAGATATAATTCTGAATGACAAACTTGAGACAAACAGTTCTCCCCTCCTTAATATATTTCATTAGAGACTATAAAATGTAAACGCATTCTAAAAAAAGAGATCACTTGAGAAAGGCAATCAGTAGAAACAGCTGTAGTGATAAGTTAAACTAAATTTTGTGGAACTTTGAAAACAAAGTTTTCAGTGTTATATTGTTACACAAAATATAATATTGTTTTTGGTATGTGAAAAATTTAACACTGTGTATAATAATCTCTGTCTAAAAATAGCACTTAAAGTTTCGACTCTGCACCAATGGTCCAACAGTGATAGACAGTCCAACGGCTGTAGAAGGTACAAATGTTTGTTACAAAGTGCATATTACTGTTTATTCCTTGTTACTTTTATACTGCCTTCGTATAAAAGTTAGCTTGCCCTGTATTTTTGCTGAATGATAATGACTTTTGTTACTGATCGGTTGACCTGTTATTCGGTGTTACTAATTGGCTGGCCTTCAAGTGATCTACAATTAATTGTTGACTATACTCTGTTTTTTAACCAGGAGGAGTAAACCAAAAAGACATACTCACACCCAAGAAAGTTACTAGAAAAGTCACCAAATACATCTTCTTTTTTTTATTATCTCGGTCTTGCGGTAATCGAGTAATCAATATCGGACAACCTTCCACGTCGATTCTAACCTAACTTTGTTAATTTATGTTTGAATAATATTTTTTTTCAATTCACTTCCAATAGATATTACAATTATTACAATAAGAAAGGACTTTTTCACATTTTTCAA